CACACACACACACACACACACACACAGAGAGAGAGAGAGAGAAATCCCTGCACCTCAGAGCCGGCTGTGGAGAAAATATAGTGGGGGAGGAATGAACAACTAAATGAATGAGTGTTTTTACACTCATTCATTTTACCCCCCCTCCTTTCCTGTCTAAAATTGCTTCCATGCTTTTTTTTTCCTTTACGTCTTTTAATTTCTCCTGCTCACTCTCTCTCACTCACTACCTTCTTTTGTCAGTCTTTCATTCAGTCATGTGGGGATTCCTCTGCCTGCCTGTCTGAACACGGCGCGCTGGGATGTGCCGTGGGCAAGAGACAGACAGAAAACAGGGAAAGGGAAATCAGCAAGGGTATATAGAGGCAGAGAGTGATAAAGTGAGGGTCACACAGGTTTAAAGAGGGACGGCACACATTTCTGAGACGTCTGGTTCAGGATGGACACCATGATGCTGCAGGAGAAACTGGTGGAGAAACTTCTGTGTCCCCGAACCAGAACCACCAGACAGAAGGTTCGCTGCTAATGTATCTATCTATCTATCTATCGATCTATCTATCTGTTAGAAAAGCTGCTTCAATTTAGTTTATTAGGTGTTATTTCAAATAGTATGATGCCACATGCATGATATTGTGTAAATTTAGTTTGTTTGGTTTTTAAGATAAAGGATTTAAACTGACTGTTAAACTAGCAGGCACTTAGCAACACCCTAGCAACCACCCTAGCAGCCTCATAGTAACATGCTTAAATCATTCAGAACAATTTAACAAGTGCAGAGCAACACCCTAACAAAAAGGTAATTGTACCTTTTTATCTCACCTTTTGGACTTTTTTTTCTCACAATTCTAAGTTTATATATCACTTATTTTGACCTTTTTAAAATTGAGATATTAACTCAATATTGCAAGATATAAGCTCAGAGTTGCGAGAAAGAAAGTCGGAATTGTGCGATAGAAAAATCAGAATTGCGAGATGAAAACTCAAAATGGCAAGAAATTAGTTTTTTTTTT